CTTTTGTTCCTATTTGGGGTTGTTAATATGTTTCCCTTATGAACCGGTTTTTGTTTTTCTATCCCACGGTCTGTTAGAAAAACTCAGATCATGTGACTCAGCAACACATGACACCTTTTTCGTTTCATGCATAATTTGTTTGAGCTTAGTGATTAACTTGATTTCCAGAAATAGTTCAAATCACTACAACAGTGCAGTGAATTCAGCGCTGTGATCTGCAAGTGAAATAGACCCTCAGCTGTGTTTGAGCGTCTTCAATTTGTAACTAATAACTACACATTTCCAAAATGACACCACTTAACAGCATGGTTGGTAATGCTAACAGCCAAGTAGCATAACATTGTGTTAACAGCTGGGAGGGAACTATGCTGCATTCAAGAAGAGTAAAGAAATATCGAGGAGAAAAAAGCGAGACTGCATCAGAAGTAACATTTAGCCAAAAGCAGAGCTCAGTCTGCTGTTGGAATGGTTCAGGTTTTCGTGTCTCTTGAGGCTGTTCTGTCCTTCATGAAATCCAAATTAAGCTCGTTTTAAAGCTGTAGAAACATTAACACACTCCATGAAAAGGAAATTACATAAAACTGAAAATCAGAACAGCCAGCCTGCTAAAGATGGACTCCATAACCCTGTTTGAAAAATACGCTTTGCTAACAGGAGACGATTTATTGTTTTGGTTCTGTGGATTTATTCTGTTTATGTTCTATTCATTTTTTATGGTGCTAAGAAAATATATTCTATATTAGGGCTGCAACGATTCATCGAGTATTTTGAATATTAAAAAACCCCTCAAACTCTTTGCTTCGATGCTTCTTTAACGCACAGCTCTGTAGCGCGCCGCTGTCTCCATGGAAACGTGAGCCACATTTGCAACTAAAACAGACCTGCAATGCAAACGTGTATGTAGGAGCAGCGTATGAATAAAAAGCCTCCAGGTTTAAACAAAAACAGCAGTGAGGATGAGGTTGGTACAGAGTCTGTGCACATGTCACGGAGAGAAAAGAGGCGAAGCCGTTACTGAGACGCTGAGCTCGGGTTGAACCCAGTAGTAGTGATACCAGCAGAAAACAGGGGTGAGTCTAAAGGGGGACACAGGGTTCACTAAGCCATATTAATGTTAAGGCTTTCATAACATTTATGAACAATGTTAGGAACTGCAGAGAGAAGTGAAATGATACAGTCTGTGTCTCAGGCGTCATACATTCAGTCTTCAGCAGCAATAAAGTCTCTAAACACAGTAAAAACAGTCTTTTTTTCATCTGTCAAACTGTGTCTACTGTGAGCAGCAGCCTGCTGAGGAGGAGGAGGAGGAAGAAGTGGTTCAGCAGGAAGTGGATGCAGTGATCATGGAGGAAGAGGTGGAAGAGGAGGAGGGGGTGGTGCTGCAGGAGGAAGGCTGTCCTGCAGTAATTGTAGAGGAGGTGCCCAGCGCTCAGGTGGAGGAGTGCTACTCTGCTCAGGTGTTGGTCTACGATGATGAGACGTACCTGATGCAGGATGTGGCTGAGGAGCAGGAGGTGGTCACAGAGGTGACGGAGACTGGTGAGTCCTCTGAGTGATGGCTTCTCAGAAAAATGTGTTTTT